TTTTCCTCGCTCTCCCCCGACACTAGCGACTAAACGAGAACCCAAGCATCGGAGATGCTTTTGGGAAAAAGTAACTAAAAAAGGCTGTTACTAGTAGCTTCTAGCTACTAGTAGTAATGCCCTTGTTGCTAGTAGCGATGCCCTTGTTACTAGTAGCTTCTAGCTACTGACATGCAAAACCTGTGCCTTTCGTGTCTAAGAAGAAGGTTCCAGGCGGCCGGGCCGAGTCGACGTTGAAGTCCAAGCCGCCGCGGCCGTTCACTTTCCACCTGTCGTCGGTCGGCGTCGGCGTTGGAGCAGGATGGAACCTGTTTCTTCAGTGGATCAATGGATCCAATAGATGAGAATTCAAGAGCCGGGAAGGGCCGGAAAACTGGACAAACACACCTTCTAATTTTCCCGAAGAGTCCCTTACCAACCCCACATCCAACAGGTCCCACAAATCCAAATCACCGATGTTCAGTATAGCTGGGTGGTATCTGGGTGCCCCTTCGACCGGTCAGAGTGAGGCGCTCGGTCGATAGCTCGACAGACCGTCACCACCAGAGACTCTGCCTCCATCGCCGGAATCGACAGACCGGTCTCCGATGCGACGATCTCGCGACCGCGGCGCGGGCGTTTGCGCCGCTCCTCATCATCTTCCGCGGCTTCAGGGAGTCAGTCCAGGTCCCAAAGCCATCGCCACCCTCGCAGGGAGGCCTCGCACTGGAGGGTCTTTCGGACCCGCGGTGCTGCGAAGCGACGCAAAAGGGCGAGCTTCGCACCGAAAAGGGCCTCCCTACTAGATGGCCTACAACCGTCTCTTCCATCCGTTCTCAAACTGCGTGTCCAGGCGTGATGAAGACCTCGTTCGACAGCATCACCATGGGACACCTCGACACCGGTGACTCTCTCGCTGCTCCGATGGCTCGACACGCAGTCGGGTCGCTACGGGAAGCGCCGCGCCAAGGCACTGTGAAGCAAAGGATGCATCCACCTGCTCCTGGCAAGTCAGGCTGGGAGGGACCTTGTATCAAGAATCTTGATTTCTTGTCAAGGCAAGCTTTGAGAGCTGAAAAAAAGCAGGAGAAAGGGTAGAAAACACCCAACAAGAACAGTTGCAAGAACCTGTGGCTTTCAAGTGCCAGGTTGAAGCATTGTTGGGAACTCGTGAAACCAAACTCTTCAGATCTTCCACTGGCTGGCCTGTGCAGGAAGTGGCTGAGGGGTGACTTTCTCTGACATGCCATACCTTCACAGTTCATTGCATCGCTGCAAAACTGGATTCATCGCTGGATCTTCGAAATCCAAGGCAACTGCTCCGCTGAGCTAACAAATAGATCCGGCACAAACAGCCCATCGCAGCTTTCCACAACGGTGCCCTCTTTCGAAAAGAAAACGAAGTGGGTATGATCAAGACCCAAGTTTCGGGCAGGATTTCAGCTCCCAGCGCCATTTGGTAGGGCAAAACACTCACCTGCAACTGGTCAGTGGCCCAAAAACTAAACAGGCTGGGAAAGGTTTCTGCCAAAGTTAAAAGCAACGCCTGTCTTCGTAGAAAGCCACAGAGCACAGCACTTTCCAACATTGATCAGAAAATGATGGTTGGAGGCCATTGCTATTAGATTGGAGGCGGCCATCGCTTCTAGGTTGGAGGCCACTCCTACTAGGTTGGAGGCCATCGTTGTTAGGTTGGAGGCCATCGCTAGTAGGTTTGAGGCCGTCGCTATTGGGTCTTATTAGGTTGGAGGCCATCGCTAGTAGGTTGGAGGCCAACATTGATGAGAGCGGACAATGATGTTCAATTGGCGCCTTGGGGCTGGGCTTGGTCTCCGGGAAGGGCGGAGGCCTGGCGACAGGCGCAACGCGGTCTGGTCGGGAGTGTCGTATGGCAAAAGCGAGAGTCAATGCTCCCCCACATAATAGGGCTATCGCCGCTATCGCTCATTTAAGATCAACACTTCAGGCATTTGTATTGGCACAGGTCAAATGAGCTGGCTGAAAGCGGGCAGTCAAGTCCCACTCCTCTTCCCTGTCTTCGCTTAGGCTGGGCATTCCCACGGTGTGACGAGCTCATAGTTGGCGTAGCCTTGCGCTGCAACATCCTGCAAGGCGGCGTGCGCTGAATAGTGGAAGTATCTGGGGAAAATGGGTTTGACCAAACATGTATGGTAGTAAGTAGTAACAAAAACCATTAAGAATGTCGAAAGAAAAACAAATTACAGTAATGAACCAAGTTCTCCAAACAGAGAGAGAGGTAGAGAGATACCATTTTTGCACTCCATTTCTAACAAAAAATAAAAACTTCTGAGAAGTAGAAAAGCTCTCAAGTTCCGTCTGAACAAAAGCTGCAGGGTGCTTTCCCACGGTCCGAAGAGCTGCTGCTATCGGTCTTGGAGACGCCTAAGATCGCCGAATACCTGGAGATGAGGGCAGACGTCACTCGAAGCGTCAGCACCTCGAATTGCCAAAGATCACCCCTACATCACGCGAAAGATCACCCAAACGAACAGTACAAATCAGTGCTTGAATGAAGCCCGTAGCCTCAACAAAAACACGAACGTCTAGCCAGCGTCTAGTCAAGTATCCTGATGAACTCTCCCTTTATAGTTCTTTCTAATACCTATTCAATTCTTGTTTCTACGTTAGCTTCTTATTACTACTAATAAGGCACGTAAGTTACGTTCGTAGCGATGCACTTGTTACGAACGTAACCTTTCGAGACATCCGTCACTTCTTCTTCACTTCTTCTTCACTCGTCCCTCGTCGCACGGATCGGGCGTGGGCGTGGGGCCCAAGTCATTCACGGAGTGCGGCTTCGGCGTCACCAGGCCTGGCTCCGTGGCGCGGCTCCGTGGCGTGATCGGTCTGATCGGTTGGTTCCTTCGAGTAGTAGAGAGTAGAGTTGAGAGTGAGTGGAGGCAGTCCCTCTTCACGAGCTCAATCAGGATTCTCACATCCCAAAGAAAACCATTGACATCGACCAATCTACCTGGCAAGGAGCCGAAGATGTGAAGAGCAGCACGGTGGAGCAAAAGGAACTCAAAGTGTTGAAGTCCAAAAAGCTTTGTCGCAAGAGACTGCGTTGCCGTTGCCCCTTCATTACTGTTCTGAAGAACCAAACAATATCCAAGTGTTGAAGGCACACCCAAGAAGCATCAGACGGCACAAAAAAAGCTCTGCTGGTCCAACTAAAGCCCCCCGGAACGAACAGTTCAAGCCAAATACCATTCGACTAGCATTGCGAATGCCACACCTGCTGCTGAGATGGCACGATCCACCTCTGCCCAGTAGAGAGTACTGATCTTGTTGTCCTGGACAAAACTTCCACGCTGTGTCAGGCCATGAACTTGTCTGACTTCTTTACCAAGGCATTCAACCAGTCGTGCAACCGTTCTCAAACAAACATGTTCGCTCGTTGTTTCGAAGTAAAAGAAACCTTTTCAATAAATTTCGCTCGTGGAACGCACAGAAGCACTTGACTCCAAGACCCATGCTACTAAGCCATTCTGGATGATGTTGTCTAGACCTGAGGCGGAAAGAAATCTCCCAACATCTTAAACACGGCTCTCTCTCTCTCTCTCTCTATTTGCTGTAGATCTTTGCTGTAGATCTTGATCTCTTTTTGCTTCTCATTCTGATGTTGGACTCTGATGTCTCATTGCACCAGCTTTCAGCCCAAAAGCTGGAAGTGTTTGAGGATGAAGAGCTCGTCTTGGAGTTCGTCGCATTGGCCGAACTGCTGGTGCTGTTGCTCGAACTGCTCGCACTGCTCGCACCCGCTGAAGGCGCTGCGTCGGGACTGGCCTTCCAGGAACACCAAAAACCCATGCAGTTTCGCTCCGACTCAAATCGGGCCCACGAAAGATCAAGGCCTGGTTCTAAACGTCTTGCTGTCATTGAACTCAACATGACTCAACACTCGGTTCGGGCGGAAGCAACTCTTTTTACAGCTTGCTGTCGCTGTGTGCTCCGCAAATCTGCGGAAGCAATTCAGAGATGGAACCTGCCAGCAAAAAGCCGCCACAATCAGGCACTTCAACCAGAAACAAGTCGAGAGTGCTCTTCAGCAACGCCCAAAACGATGGCATCGATCGGTTGAACGGTTGAATCGGTTCCTCGAGTCGTTGATCGCGTCACCGCCGAGACGACTGAGACGACTGAAACAGTCGACCGTCGACCGCTCGTCCTTCGAGCCGGACGTCTGCCAGCTCGTCGTACTCGGTGGGGCCTTTGTTCAAGATCCTCGGAGAAAGCGGCGGAAGCGGCCGAGGTGCCAGACCAAGCTAGCGATGGAAGTCGTTGTCTACGCAGTGCATGCATTCCTTTTAAGAGAGGAAGAATGCTGCATGGAAGGCTCCCTCCAATTCGTGGTCCCAAACAAAGAACTAAAAAATCTGATGGATCCATCTTTTCAAGGCAAACTACTTGAGTACTACTACTCAGGTCATCGAAGCCGAAATTTTGGACCAAAAATCGGTCCAGCTTCCCACCGAAGCCGACAGATTCCGCCAGTAACCAGTGCAGTACAGTACCTTGCTCTCGCCTCTGAGAACCTCCTGAGACCCAGACAACAGCTTGGCACCACTTTCTTTGGCTTCAGGTACGATAGACGCCACCTGAGCCACTGGAGGATAGACGTCACAAACATCAAAAGCATGCCAGCATGCTGTTGGTACAAAGACGTCATGGGAGGATATTCATTGTGAATGATCTTCCCCTTCCTTCACCGTAGGACTTACTACACCACTCCCGCTTTCGACTTCCACCAGGATATGCCGAGCCACAGGATACACCGACAGAGTACTCCCCACGCAGAGCATCAGATCACAGCCATGGGCGGCCTCCATTGCCCTGGCTCCAGTTCAACGGAGTTGAAGGACTCTCATGAGGCGACCACTTAGGTTGGAGGCCATCGCTACTAGGTTGGAGGCCATTGCTAGTAGGTTGGAGGCCATCGCTCGTAACAACATCTCAACGGAGCTGTGGTTTGACTCAGCAAGGAGAAAATAGTGCAAAGTCCAAATCACCGGTCTCTACACCAACCACATCTTCTCATATGGGTGTGTAGTTTAATAGGGAGACACCCAACCAACCAATGGGTTGAAGTCTTAGTCGATTGTCCTTCTTCCACGGAAATCTTTGCAAGGTCTCCCTATTTGGATACATACCCATATCATATATCTTCGGTTCCTTCATACTTCGCAAGCACATCTGCATCCAAGTGACAGGGGCATGGCCATGGGCGGCAAGGCTTCACCGAAGAGCACTACATTGGCCTTCCTCGACAGGTTCGGGCCGATGTTTCCATGCCAGAGGTGTCTGTTCCGATGCCGAGGACTAGACTCACTAGACTTGGGATACAGCAAGTCGGGTTCATGTTGGAGGTTGTTTTGGAAGCAAGATCATGCTTGCCTTTTCGCAAGCTTTCAGTCAAAACGGTGATCCATCTGTGGGTGACTCGGTGACCTTTTCACATAGTCCCAAACGCTGGCTGCACAACCGAGATCAAGATCATCCGAGATGCAACAAGCCACCACAGCTCTGGCAGCAGGGCAATTCCTCCTCCAGCGCTTCCTCGATGGGACGACGTTCAGAGCAGCTCAAGCAGCAGCTCTCCTGATGGAACGCATGGAATCAGGATCGTCCGCACTACCTGACCACGTTTAATTTACAGCGGCCCAGGCATCAGCCCTGTGGGTCTTCATCGAAACATACAAAAGGCTGGTGAACGAAATTGGTGGTGAGGATTTGACTGACGAGTTCGTGCTGAGGATTCGTCCTATCCTCCTGTCAGTTCACTCGAGCTGCTTTGCTCCTGAGTGTTGCCGTGCACTTCTACCACGGCGTCAGGAGAGCTACCTGCTGCTTGATGCAAGCCGTCTACATTCCTTGTCAAGCAAGCGCTGCAAGTCGGCCAAAACAAACAGCAAATCTTGCGCTTTTTCACAGCTTTTGATGTCCAAGGCCGAATCTTCGCTTCTCCGTTGTGATCCTCTTCCCATCCACCGAGCTACTGAGTGACCAGTAGCAGCAGCTTGCCACGTTCCTGGCGAGATGGCCGATCAACCAGAAGTGAGTGAAAGAAGGAAAGGCATTTTCTTCAAGCATTTGCAACAACCCTCAAGGGCTCTCTCAAAAGCGCCAAATGCTGCTGCGAGACCTTTCATCCTCCAATCTTGATTGTCAAACTCTACTCTGTTCTCTCTTGCCCTTCTCTTCCTCCATGCACCGCCTCCAAGCGCACCAGTGCATGATGACCCTCATTGGGCTTGATGGCAGCCTGGTGCATCATCCGCATCATTCCCCAAAACCTCAGACATCGCATCGAGATGCGAATCAACATGAATAAAGTAGGAACTGGAACTAGTAGCTTCTTGTTACTAGTAGCGATGCCAGGAGCCCCGTTCGTAGCGTCCTTGCTCCTAGTAGCGATGCCAGGAGCCCCTTTCGTAGCTTCTTGTTACCTTAAAGTAGGAACTGGAACTCCAGGGAAAAAAAGGCAGAGGATCCGGACCAAACGCTTTTTTGCGGGGGGTTAGGCCGCTAGCAGCTAGGTAGCTAGTAGAAGAGGTAGCTAGTACCGTACTAACACGCTACTAGTCTGGACGCAGGATAGCTCACGCTCTAATGATTTGGTTCCTAGATGAAACTTAACTAGTTCGAGGCCCTCTTCCCTTTCGCCCAAGGAACCCTCTTCGCGCATTCTCATCTGTTAAGAAGACCGAAATGTCTGAGGCTTCCTCTGCACCGGGGTTCTTGGTCCAAAGTCCTTCAGGCCCACGGAAATCCGGGATGCCCGAGTCCGTGCCTCAGATCGGGGCGAGTCGGTCTGTGGTGATGCGGTCGGTGGTGTTTTTTGCGGTTCGTAACGTGCCGTGCTCCGTGGGAAGTGCTTCTTGCTTCTGGAAACTTCTTTCAGAAGTTCACTTGCTTTGTGAATGAACTTGTTTCACACAAGGGCTCAAAAGCTCTTTGGTCTTTTTTTGTTGGTCTGAAAGAGGGGGCATTCGGCGACGAAAGCTCTGGCCTAAAAAATGCCCGGTGTCTTTAGCAAAACGCCCCACAAAATAGGTGTTCCAAATGGAGTTAAACAAATCAGCCCAGCAAAGCAGACTAATGCTAAATCTTAGCTTCTGATGCCTGCCCCAGTGAGAACCACGATGCGAGATGATTCATCAACAAGCCTGAAGCACATGGCCAGTCAAACAGGTCGTGTTGCAAGGCCAGTCAGTGTTCCTTCCCTCCGCAGCAATTCAACTTTCCTGTTCTCCAAGAGGTACCCAACATCAGGATATGCTTGAAGTACACTTGCAAGTGGCTCCCTTTTTGTCGGCTTCGGCCAATTTCTACCAGCCAAGAGCCCCACCTTTTGGCATGCTCGATGTCTGACATGGCGAGCAATGGCTTGAAGGAAGGCAGCTAAGGCAGCCAGTAACATGTGAAATCTGAGGTGTGACAAGTGACACAAGTGAGAACCTCTACACAACATCTTGGGAAGTGCGCAACCTCGGAACTCTTCATGTGAAACTGTCATGCACATGCCCGTTTCTTTGCTGACATCAACTTTCAAATCTGTTCACTTGAACCACGTCTATGACCGGCCACACGTCTATGCCAGCGAAAATGCCTTGGTGGACAAGACACCGAAGAGAAAATGATGCCTGTTGCATCGAAGAAGCATCAGTAGCTAAGGCGATCGGAGCAAACAAAAAGCAAGCTGCCGAACACGCTCCCTCACCTGGTACAATCCAATGGAACGACCTAAGTGTAGAAGGTCTGAGCGGACTTGTAACGGCTTCTGCATGGCTTCTGTTTTACACAGTTGCAGCAACAACAGAAGAGCAAATTAACAACCTCAACAGGTGGGTTCGCCCTCGCATGCCGAAACACTTCCTCTCAAAGATGGTCCTTCTGTCTAGCTGATTGATCCCCTCTGATCCACCATTCAAAACCTCCCCTTTGGGCTTTTCCTGGCTGTATACGTTGTCAAGTTGAGGCTCGACTCAACGCATGCATGTTCAATTGGATAATAGTCCATAGCTGGTGAGAACCTGATGTTCCAGGACGGTTGAGAAATCTTGCATATCTCCGAGGTTCAGTGCTTCTGCAATCCAGTTCCAGGAATTCCGGCGCTGTCTAAGAGAGCTGGATGACACGGATAAAGGAAAGACCTCGGTCTGCTTCACACCACCATGCGAGACGTTTCAATGTGAAGAGTCTGGGGAGGCAGAGTTTCTTGAGGAGGAATCCTTAGAGTCTACTTACACAGAAAGAAGTACTGCTCGACACAATTGCTCGATCTAGTATTCCTTGGCTCCTGGCTGCGATCAGAAGACACAGAGTCCAAGACTGCAGCATCCGTTTTTTGGGGTCACAGTCAAGGGGAAGGACCTCACTAAACGCATAAGAATTTACTGAAAAAAAAGGAATCTCCGGTGCCTGTGACTGGGTATTTTCTCGATGTCTCACGAAGACTTGAGGTTGCTTTCTTATCGGCCAACTCAGTTCCATAATTCACCCCAAGCTCCTCTTAACAAAGGCTCTGGCTGCATGCGGCAACATGGCTGGAATGAACGTGTTCTAAGGTGCAGTCGTCCCTATTCTGGTCCATACCCTGATGGCAAAAAGGTTTGTGACACCCTCCACGATCCGTCCATGGCCTTAGCCAGAGCCCGTCCAGTCGCCTGCAGCAACAAGTCTCCCAACACCATTTACTCTGCAAAGACTGGGCTGAATCTGTAGCTTCGCTCACAAGCAAAAGCTCGAGCACATGTTTTGCTTGGAGTGTCTTGACTTCGCACATGCTTCATCCTTGTAGCCTATGACGCAACAGCAGCTTACGGAAACACTTGATCGTGACAACCAATGCATCACCAGGCATCAAATGAGGCGTTATTAATTTTGCATGGAATGCAGGTCCTTGTTTGGAATTCTCCTTTCTTGTATCACAGTTCCTACGTTCTGCATGTTTCCTTGAGGCAAATTCCAGCCACCGACATTCACCAGCCTTGCGTTCGATACCGGTCATGGGCTGGCTCACGTGCGCATGGGCATCGCACGTACGCCTGGAAAAACAGCAAACCTATTATGTCTTGCTTTCGATGTGGTGAAAGAAAAGAGCTAAGCAGCTAGGACATCAGTTCGCTTCAGCGACTAGGCCCCTGACCACGCAGCACAAGTTGTGACACTGAAAACGGGCATGACAAGTGTTGAGCCGAGCAGGTCATGCCGAGCCGTAAATAAATATGTTTCTCGCTGGGATCGGAGCAGGATCTCGTTTGCATAACCTCCGGAAAGCCTGATAAACCTGGAAATCCACACACGTGTGATCCAAAATTAGAGAACTTCCACCAAAAGCATTGCAAAATGACAGGAAGTTCGCGAAATCACTCTGCTTGAACTTCCGAAGGCAAGCAGGCTTGCGGGCAAGCAGGCAGGCAAGCAATCAAGCAAGCAAGCAAGCAACCGAGAGGCAGCCAACCAATCAAACAAACAGACGGACAGCCAACGGACAAGCAAAGAACAACCAAACAAACAGAACTGAAAGAATCAAACAAAAGAAATTCAGCTACCTACCAGTGTGGGAGCCAACGCGTTTCCCCTTTCGCTCTTGGGGGCGAAGCACTACCACAAGAAACCCCCCTGCGACCCCGCTGCGACCCCCCCGCGCCACGAAACCTGATCTTTCAGATCCACCCACCTTGCAAGCAAGGCAAGGTAAAGCAAGGCAAAGCAAAGGAGCGCAAGAACCAACCAACCAAACGAACGACCAAAACTTGGAGACAGGGACCTCAAGATGAGAACCCAAAGCACCGATAGGGAACTGCAAACACCATTCGAGGAGCCCAACACAATTCGAGGAAGAATAAAAACGGAAAAACCATTCGCTTGGTCTTTTCAACGAGAATCCTTCTGTCGACATCTCGGTCAGACCAGACCGCGCAGCATCCGCACGTCGGCACCGGTCCGCACGGATTCCCCGGGGCACAGGTGTGCACAAGGGTGTTGGACAGCAAATGATAAGATCAGGTGTCTGAGTCTTGTGGCATGAGAAAATGGTTGATCCATTAATTTATATATATACTACATATTATTTGTCAACTGACAAGAATCCTCAACGAGCTTGTGACCACTATTGTTGCCGTTGGGCTGGTGATCACTAGGAAAACTTGGTGCTACTGGCGTCCTTGGACTTCCATAGTGCCATGATAGCTTCCTTCAGCATTAAACTGAAAGGAGCCATGCAAGGCTCACCACAATAACAAAGAAACAACAACGGACGTGAACCAAACATATTCAGCTTCATGATCGATCGACATTACATCTCCGAAAGCGGTCAATAAAATGCGCTTTAGATAAAGACTATGCCACTCCGAAGCCCCCTGTTGCCGCGCGTGCAAACAGTTTTACATGGGGGCCCGATGAAATCACACCAAACATCCAACTCCCTGAACCGCCGTTGGTGTTCACATCCATCCTGATGGCAGGCCATCCTCATCAACCTCGCGTAAAAACTCATCTCTTTCACCTCTTTCACCTTCAAAGTCTTGCAATGCAGCTGGAGAAGCACATCTGCCAAAGGAGCTGGTTCATCCCCGTCTTGCAAAGGAACTGAAGAAGAGATCTCAGATGCTGGAGACCTCTCCACATCGTGTTGCTACTAGGATTCCTCTTCCTGCAAACTTCACTTCGTCACCTCGCATCGCGCACCGCTCATAGCATCGCCTCGCCTACCTTGCGCCTGCGTCTCCAAGATCCCCTTTCAGGTGCATTTCAGCGATCTTGAACTCCAGCACATGCTTTCCGTCCCTAGCGTCCTTGCTCCTGGTAGCGATGCCAGGAGCCCCTAGTAGCATCCTTGCTCCTAGTAGCGATGCCAGGAGCCCCTAGTAGCATCCTTGCTC